AACCCACTACAGTCTGCCCTCTGCCCCCTCCCCTCAAATTTATATATTACCAACATGCAGAATGCACTCTCTGAAGTCCAGTTATCCCCAAAGTCTCAGCCCATCACAGCATCAGCACTAAGCTTCTCCCAGTAAATCTCAGAAGTCTCATGTTTCACTATCTAGCACTGTCTGTACCAGGTCTCGGCAGGCTCTGGGTAAGGTCCATCTTGGGCAAAATTCCTCTACAGCTATGAACTTGTGAAACTAGGAAACAAGTTATCTGTCTCCAAAGTACAATGGTGGGAGAGACAGAGATTGGAAGAGAAAAAGAGGTAGAGGTCCACAGTCCTACCAAAGTCTGAAATCCAGCGTAGAAAATTCCATTAAGTTTTCACAGCTGAGAACAGTCCTGTGTGGTGGCCCTATACACTGCCAAGGTCAACTCTGCCTAGGGCCAGCCATTGGAAGAATGGTCCCTTTGTTGAAGGAACCACATGTCTGCAGCCAAGGAGCTCTATTATTCTATTTCCTGCCTAGAACTTTCTAAGTCTAGCAGGTTTCTCATCTCATCTTGTCTTTATTCCTTTCAATCCAAGCTGGCAGGGTCTCTTAATACAACACTCTCAACAACTCTGTGGGTCTCCTGCATTTGCATGCCACACAGGCTCCCCCACAGATCTGTCTTGATAGTCACCTCTACACCTGGCTTCTTCTGTGATGGCGGGGTGAATCTCCTCATCAAAGGTCCTCCAGCCACAGCCATGCCTTTGCTCCAGCACCCACTTTATAGGAGAGACTCCTCAACTTCAGCATCTTTTACAATGTGGATTGAAATCTGCAAATTTCCCCCCAAAATTAGTCCCTTAATACCACACCTAGGTCAAGAAAGTTCAAAACACATTTTTCACTAAGCTTTCTACCTGGAAAATGAGGTAGAAAAGATGGTGAGTAAGTCAACAAAAACCAATAAAATGTCTCAGAAAGGATACCAGAACTGAAAGTAATTTGAGGACAATCCTAAGAATTTTTCATCAATAAAACTTTAGGAAGGTTCATTTCCAAGTCCAGGTGCAACACTGTTGTGCCCTTGATTCCTGGCATTCTTGGTATTTCAGCCTTCAGCATGCTTACGGGTAGGTAGGGCTCTGAGCATGGTGTTTACCATCTATCTTTCAGGCCAATGGCAAGCTTCCCACCAGCACTGCTCTGGCGCCTGACATACAGAAAATGAGAGGAAGTCCCTGTTTCCTGAGGCCACAAATACTCCTTCAAGCTCAGTGCTTTAGTAAAGACACCGAATGTAACAAGACTCAGAAGGGACACAATTCTCTTTGTCAAACACATTTTTGCTTCCTTCACTCACATATGCCTCATGTAGAAGTAAAAGTCTCTCTGAGCCCACACTGATAAGAAAGTTTTTGGATTATTAACTAAAGCACATAGTACTTCATAGCATCTGGACAAAAGGGGGTAAACTGCAGAGAACAGGAACTGCAAGTCCCGATGCTAGACTTGTTGTCAGGTTCCTCCCTGGTTGCTTTTGTTAGAAGCCGAGCTTGAGATTTAGGGAACAAGTTTTTGCTTTAGATAAGGAAGTTAGATCAAGTAATTCAAAATTACTAGAGAGAAATTTTCATACAATAGCTTAAGTTTTATAAATTTGAAAATTCTTTTAAGAGTGTTAGGACAATAAAGAAAAAAAGCACTTCTTTCCAAATTTGCATATTTTCAAAACAAAAGAATATGCATTTTAGAAGTCCAAAAGAACATGTAGCAAACACTAAAACGTACTACTATTCTTATTTAATGGAGACTTGGCAATAGAAAAACAAATGTGCTTTGATGAAATGTAGACCTTAATTCCCTAAATCAGCAGCCTTTACCCTCCACATTTTACAGCCCTCTCCCTTTGCTAAGTCAGAATAAGGTAAGGTATTTTGCTGCAGCAGGCAACCGGGTATGCTGGAGCTTCACAGAGGTATGGTTACCACTCTGTCTAGTAAATCTCTGCACGCTTGACTGGACACGCTAAATATAAAATCACTCACTGAAAAACTAGACCAAGAAAGACCTGTAGGAAGCCTAGCATTTTCCTCATTTTGTAAGCAAATATCTTAAAAGGATATACGGACTGAAAAGGGTTGAGTATGTGTTGTGTGTATGAGTACATGTGTATTTGTATTCTAAGTCTATCCAAGCAACTAGAATTTATCTAGTGAGATTATATTTCCATTGTTAGTATAAATATATGTAATTATTCAAATATGAGAACAGAAATTATTTTTAGTTCCAAAAATGCTTACAGGACATACTTTCATAACTGTAATATTAATTTCTCTGATAACTGGATAAAGGGAAAAAATGTCAAGTCCCTTTATATTGTTATTTACGCTTAAAGAGATGATTGGATTGGAGTTTAAAACTCTAATAATGATGATCCTGATAGAAGTACTGTAGAAATGGGAAGGAAAGAGGCCCCATTAGACTTCCAGCATGAAACAAATAGTCCTAAGAGTAATGCCACAGAACATTCTAAAACAGAAAATATGCTTCGTGAAAGCAAGGAAGAAAACCTGCTGGATTTCCAAGAAAAGATGAGGAAAGATGCTCTTGATAGCTGGGACCAAGTGCCTTGCACAGGCAGGTGTGGGAAGGGTCAGGGAAGAGGTGCAGCATTGGGCACTGTGCAGTGGCTCACCAGTACAGTCTTGGGCTCTCTCTTCCTCTGCCCACGACACCTGTGCCACGTCTTCCTGGCCAGGCACAAAGCCACAGAAGGCCTCTTTCTCCTGAGCTCCAAGAGCTTCTCTCCATCCCCATGACCTGCTCTATCTGAACAACAGCATCTACCACTACACAGACTCTTTACTGAATCATTGGTATGTTGGTGTGTATCTCCCTCAACTAGAAAACAGGAAAGGCACTGGATTTGTCTCTGTGTTCCCCCTACATTAGCAGTGCCTTACACATCAGTTTCTGACCACAGCACTTAATATATACCGCCCTGTGTTGCCTGTTACACTTTTATGTATAAGTAAAGCATAGTAAGACTGGATGTGGATAATAATAATTATATTTTTCAAATCTTATTTCAAACAATCATAAAGTTACTCTTCTATAAAGGAATGACATTTCTGTTGCCCAAAGCCTTTCCTTCTCTTGAGCATAGACTGCAAGGTGCCTCAATATGCAGGGTGCCTCTACAGAAGTGTTTGTCACTACTGGGACAGTGTGGGAAAAGCCCAGGGCCCAGAGGTCTGTGCAAGCCTCTCCAAGCATAAACAGAGCAGGAGGGCAAAATAAAAGCAAAATTCTGGCTGGAAAAAGTATGTGAGCAGATGGGAACAAATAGTTAAAATATTTTAAGATCCTTGCATTGTGTGAAAGAGAAAGCAAAGATAACTTTAAACTTTATTAAATGTGAAAGGTAATGTTTCTAGGAAGACTATAAGAACAGAAACACAAGGGATTAATTCAAGTTAATAAAAAGGAAAAAAATGGAAGTTAAACATATTCAAAGCCAGGTGTGGTAATGTACACCTGTAATCCCAGCATTTGGGAGGCTGAGGCAGGAGAATTATGAGTTCAAGACCAGCCCAAACTACATAGAGAGATCAAGGCCATCTTGAGCTAATCTGAGGGAGTAAATTCCCGCCTAACTAGTAAATAAGACAGGTATGTGATGTTATAGCCACACTTTGTGTATGGCCACTTAGTCACTGGGTCTTTTAAGTCCCAGAGCTCGCTTGTGGCACTCAATGCGTACTTGCATGACAACTACAACAACGTGAATAATACTCAGTTTCCCAAAGCAAGTGGATCTAGGACCCCACCCACCCACCACCTGGTTCTGGCACTGGGGTATGAGGTCATGGGGACAAGAGGCCATTCCGTCTTAGAGCTCAGGGAAGGAGAGTGGCCAAAAAAGAAGACAGACAACAGCACAGACTAGACAGAGAACTACCATGGCTGGCAGCAAGTGCCTGGTGCTTCTCAGTGGGTTCTAACACCTCTCTGAGGAGGTGTTAGGAGAATTCTGAGTGACAAGAAGGGACTAACCGCAGGATCCTAGCACAGATGGGCAGGGAAGAGCACACAGGTGGGCTGCAGTGTCCTGAAAGAGGAGACAAGACAGCATATTGGGCCAGCAGCTGGACTGAACACCAGGACTGCCATCAGGAAGTGACAAAGGTCCAAAGGGGGCAGTGATGCAGTAACAGCAATGCCATCAATGGACACGCTGCTTTGCAACCCTGCCACCTTAACTGGTGTTTCAAATGTTCAAATGTTCTAGATTCAGACTTTACCCTTGACTCATGAGGTTTTAATTACTCATATGAAAAATTTCAATCATATATATTAAAGATGTCTTTTAAAAATATCATTTCTGTAAATACATAAAAGTGGACTTACGAATATTTGAATTATAAATGAGTCTTTAAATTAAGTACACATCTAATCTTAACTATTTATATCCCTGTTTCTAGTTATACAGGATAGTATTTTGAAAAGTTCACATTTATAGACTGCCTTATTCAGTATTTCCTCTAACTTGAAATACATATTATCAGATCCTCCTTTAAATGCAGGTAACTTTTGTTGCTGTTTTGAGACAGGGCCTCGCTGTGCTGGGATTACAGGAGTGGCCACCTAACCTGGCTTTAAATACAGGTAACTGTAAATGTCCATTAAGTACACAGATCCAAGAGTACTGGAAATAAATCACCTATCAGTATTCAACAAAAATTGTTTTCTCAGATTCAGATTTATGCTCCAACAAGAAATCTCTCCCACTGTTGAAGATTACATTGTCAATGCATCCCTAACAGGAAAAGTGTCAATTTGTAAGTTACTCTAACACCATTTCTGCTGAAGGGCTCCTCAGATTCATCAGGGTTGCTAGCCCTTCCTCTTTTGCTGCACTTGGATAATTTATTTCACAACTGGGAAAGAAAAATTTCAACAGACTCATACACTATGAAACCAGACATTTGTGTTATTCTAATTCTTAAACCTACCTTATGGGAATGATGTAGGAAAAGAGGAGGAGGAACCGGAAGAGATTGCGGTACCATGGGCCTGTAAATCCCTGCAAGGTTACCATAACAACAGAAAGAACAACTAAAGCCAGAAATAGTGCCTTCGTCAGCTGATTGAGCTCCAGGTCCAACAAACCAACCTGCAAGAAAATAGCACAGCATTAGTATGTGCCCAAGCTGGCTACCTGTCCTGATATCCATCAGAATATATAACGCCGACATGAGGAACTTCAGGATTATTAACCTTTATAATCATGAAATACAAAAATGAATCAACTTTACTTTTCTCCTGAGAAACCGCTTACAGATTTTGGCAGAATTTCTTGAAAATGGGTTACACCTCCCTAGGGCATTCCCAAAAGAGTCTCCTGGGGAAATATGAGGCCAGAGTACACAACTCAACCACTTTAGCTGATGCATATGGATGACATCATCCATATGTAGGTGATGCCATGATTGCTAAAACCAAGAATAAATAACAAGCCCACAGGGGGGAACGGGAGGCTCCCTCAGTGCCCAATCCTAAAACAGAGCTTTTCCAGGAGCAAAACCTCATCTCTCCTGGCATGTGCCATGTTAGACCAATGTTCCTGCTGTCAGTCTTGAGAGTCTTTGCACACCTCCACTTAAGGTTTTATTCAGATTGAGAGTCCCCACGCACAGGACAGTGTGTGTGTACAAGAGTCTCTGCTAGGACTCCTGATGAGGAAGGAGGCTGCAGAGGGCGGTCAGCTTGTGATGAAAACGTGCCTCATTTTCACAACTGCCACACTTCAGGTTCTCCTAGCACAACACATGACACTCAGATCCATCCTATGGGGTTTTCATTAGCTGAGCAAAATGCAAGCGAAACGATGTAAGTAGTTCATTTTTCATTGCTCTTGGAAACAGTGAGCATTAGCCACCCAAACAGCCCTCATCCTACAAGTGAAAAGAACAGGCTCTTCTGAAGCATATAACTTCAATTTCAAGCTCTAGCAATCTCTGAATTGCTGCTGCTTGCTTAGTTTCACCCTAAAAGTCCACAGTGCCATGCAGTGTGCAGGCTGGGGCATGCCAGGCAGGCGGGCTCTGCAGGAAGGCTGCAGAAGCAGGAGGAGAAGTCAAGCACACAATCACAGAGGTTGCTGGGACCCCAAAGTCAGCTTGCTCAAACACAGGCTCTGCCTCTGGGCTTGCACAGACCTGGGCTGGCCAGACTTCTGCTTCCTATCTGTACAGCAGGGATCATGGCAACATCTTCCCAACAGGACCCTGCTCCACCCTGCAGATGGAGTGACATTTCATGTAGCAGTGTGCAGGCATACTGCTGTCACTGTCACACACTTGCACTTGGATCCAGTTTCTCTGCAGACAACTGTGTGACTTTGGGGAGTAGACTCAACTCTTCAAGCCTTGTTGTCCACGTTTGTAAAATGGCACTACCCATGAGCCAAGGGAGCTAGGAGTTTGGACTGTGAGTACAGCATGAGATGGCTTGGGGCCAGAGTGTGTGAATCGTAACTACTTGCTCCTGACTTAGGTGACATGAAGAGCAGACGGAGACCTACTGAGCTAGGTCTCTCTGTCATCTCATGATTTCCCCAAATCCTTGATAATTCTTAAATTTAAAAGTTTGAGAAACTTGGTTTATTTCATAAACTCACAGCTTTGACCAACAGAAAGCTAGCTCTTCCCATAATTCATGGTTTATTCTATATCTGGTTTTGATATTTGCCATGGACTCTCATGAAACCATGACAACCTACAGTAAGAAAGAAAAAACAAGACTTTTCCAGAAAGTATATTAAGTGCAGCTATGAAGAAACCTAATTACAACAAATGAATACCTACCCACATCTCATTCTGAATTCTAAGGTTATGAAAATGAGTTAATTGTGAGATTTTTTTTTTTTTTACAAACAATCTAGTAGGAAAATAAGACAAACACCAGTAGTGTATGCCAAGAAAAGAAAATTAAGAAACAAAAGTTTTGCTCGCTGACCAGGCTTGCTTTAAATCTCATCTTGAAGCTAATAGTCAGCGTTAGTGTTGGTAAACACACTATGGCCTTTCAGAATACTATAGAAACAAGGCATGTTGGCCAGAGATGAAATGACTGAGGCCTGTCTGGAGTGTGGGTTCTGAGCCTGTACCCAACGAATGCTGCAGGATCTGTAGGGCTGGGGTCCAGGGCACAACCCCCGCTCCCCGCCAAGTGCCTGCCTGCCTCTATCAGAAGACCTGCCAGTGGGGAGCAGAGCCTACCTCATCCACACTGCGGTCTCATATGACCACTCTGTGTCCTGTCACTAGCATGCAAGACTCCTATCTAAGGAAACTTCAAACAAAACTATGCAACACTTTGATACAGAACAGCTCCTCTCCTGGTTTCTAGTGTGACAACACAAGACAAGCCTGCCACAGCAACCCCTCTGCATTGCTGTTCAGCAGCTCAGTTTCAACAGAAACACCCAAGACACATGCAGGGGTCTAACTCTCAGCATTGGGTCACACGTGGGGAGCATATCCCGGGAACATCCCTTCTGTCTCCAGCCTTGCACCAGCACAGTAAAACAGTGTGAGCAAACAGTGTGAAAGAAACTGTGTCAGTGAGTCCTGAGAGTCCCCTTGCTGCTTCCCAGGCAGGGGATGTCTCTTCCCTTGCAACTAGGCAGCTCAAGACTATGGCACTGATTTATCAGCACCATTTTAAAAGCAGAACAAGGAGGACAAATATCGTGCAATTTCCGCCACTTCACTACTACATAGTTTATGCTTGAATTATTGAGAAAAATAGGTTTTGGATTAAAATGAAGAAAAATTAAGCCAGGGAAGTAGAGCATGTTTCAAAGCCCAGATCTTTCTGCTGTGACAAAGGCGGTCTAAGTTTCAGGCCTCACTGAGGATCAGATGAAGTCATTATTCATTCAGTCAGGGAAAAAAGACTCAATTACCTCAACCTAAAGATGCTATCAATGAATGCAAAGTGCATATTTTACTCTATTCATCCAAATCCCATTAAAAAGTGAAAGGAATGATTTAATCTGGCCTTCCAGAGTTGGTCTTTTTTTTTTTTTGTAATAAAATAGAATTACTGTCTTGCAAAATGCATAACCACTACCTCACACTTTTCCCTGCATCATAGCAGTGAAAGACCAAAAACTGGACAAAACCACTCCAAAATGAATACAAAGTTTCCTTTGAAAAAATGCCACACAGAGAAGGGAAACATTAAAGGCAGCCCACTGCACACAGATATGCAGATAATTCAAGGCATTAATACCTTTCTAATTGAGCAGGACAGATGTGGTGGACTGCAGACTAGTGAATATCACCATTCCGAGCCTTCTCCCACTCCCTTCTAACTCAAAGGAACGGCAGTGGACAGAGTCAAACACAGCTTTCTGCTCCTTGTGCTCTTTCAGGTAACTGGATATGAACCCTGACTGCTCTTCCCAGAGAGGAATTGCAACCAGGCTAGAGACACAGCACAATGTAAACTTTTTGGTTGATTCTAACAAAACACATGCAAGGAGAAAAGATGTATTTCAAAACTTGATTTTTATTTGCTTGCTTGTTTTTAAGCCGCTTTCAGTTAGTATCTTTTCATATTTGGTTTCGCTGCAACACCCTTAAAAGTTTCTGCAATTCATCTTTTAAAGAAACTGGGCTCTTAAAAGCTATTTAAAATAAAAAGTAGCAAACTTACAAAGTAACAGATTCTATAAAAAAAAAACGCTAACTTTAATTTTGATACGAATCTCTGCATTCTTTAAAGAAATTCTTAAACACCTCAACAGACCAGAAACTATTGGGCATGATTGGAAAACCTTTTCACCCATAAAATATATTATTAATCACTTGAAGTAATTATGATTGTATAAGAAAAAGTACATTAAATACATTGGGAAGTAATTTTCAACATTTGTTGTAATTTCCTATATTACTAAAGCAAATTTTCTTCCACTTGTCATAATATTTGTTTTATTTGAAACAACTGTGATAACAAAATTAAATACGCTACTGGAAATTTTCATCTCCAAGGGAAAATTTGTGCATAATGTCTGAGACAGTCACAATGGCTCTGCAAAGGGGCTGTTCTAGGATAATGAACACAATAATTGCCTGTATAATCTAAAATGCTACTAATGGCAACGATCACAAATCCATTTAGCTCCTCTTTAATTTATGTACCAAGTTTTAAATAGCTAATGGTTCTCACTAAAATAATGGTTTATATCAACAATAAAGGGTAAATACGGTGTTCTCCTGCCTGATCAAGAAAAGCAAAAAAAGATCGGTCAGGTTTTTTGGTTTTTTTTTTTTCTAAATGAACAGATGAACGAATGAGAATCTGACCTTATCTCTGTAACACAGCACTACTCCCATCCATCTCAAAGTTAAAACTCCCTGTATACTACTAAGTTCCTAAGAAATCAATGTACATACCAAACTGAAACAAAAGTCTTACGTTATAAAATCTTAGGCCCTATCGATGTTAGTGAGTACCAGATAAAGCACTTAAGAACCACTAACTGCTGGTAACATCACCCCTGGATTAAAAGGATATAAACATCAAAATACTCTTACCAATTTTTTAAGATTCACATGTACTATTACTTACATGGAAGTATTTTAGAACAGCAAAATAATAAAATGCAAAATTTCAAAGAGCTAATATATACCCCAGCAGAAAGCTAGATATTATTAAGTTTTCCTGTAATAAACCCCCAAATACTTAATTCATTGAAGACTACTGTATACATACATTACAGCTTTTATGTGAAAGACTACTTAAGGAAGAAACCATCAGTTCTGCATTCAGAATTTGGACTATGACTGTAACATTGACATAAAGCTATGCTTTAACCTAACTCAAAGTCCTACAAAAAACACATATCCTTTTGAGTATCTTTGAAAGAAATCACCTCTGTATTTACACAATCTTAAGAAATAAGAACAAAATTTCACACCTTCGTCTGTAGTTGTATCCCACATCTAATTCCTAATATTGCATCAATGACTTTTCCATTTATGGAGTATAAATTACAAGCATTAGTTTAAAAAAAAAGTGATAATACTATGTAGCATTTTTCCTTAAGTTTATTTACTTACTTATTTTTGGATATAAACTTCTAAGTCTTAATTATCCACAAAT